GATATATCTTCACTGATAAATTACTATATTTAACTAAACATGTAATTATTTTAAGATAGATTTTCCTGTTTATTCATGTGAGATATGCTAAGAAAACGTGTTTAGTCAAAAACTTTGTAGGAAGTCGCATATAAGTCACATACAAGATTCTTCTTCCGTATCGTCTCACTATTTCATTTCTTACAATCACTATATTCAGTCCGCAGAGTAAAAGCTTCGAAACTGTCAAACACATAAAAATTTCTTCCAAAGCTTCTTTCAAACTCGTCCCAGAAAAGCTATCATGGCAGCAGTTCTGTACATTTTCGATACAAGAACTGTGGAAAAAGAGGCGAAATGGAAACAGGAGAGAGGGTGGTAATAGAATTTTCACGAACGAAACAAAGAGAAGAAAAAAAGATCTTTAAGTTTCACTTATTACGCGTTCTTTGATGGCTATACATCAATCTAGATAATTCATTTTCATGGTCGCTTTACCGTAAGGAATGTTAAACACTTTCAAATGGCTTCCTACTCGCTAATCTATGATCTGCAGACTCTGATAATGCTGTGGCCTACTTAATGCATTTGTTGCGTAAGTGATTGGAGTGAATTTTACAATAGATTTCTAATTAAAAGTAAATAAAATATAATTATCTTACTTAATACTAATTATTAAAAAAGTTTAAGCAATGTATAATCGTGAAGACATATTCAATAATACTGAATACTGTATACAAATAAAATATCATTGATATATAATTATTGTTTTAATATTTTAATTTTGAAATATATATTGTAATGTATATTTAGAAAAAAATCATAAATTAAATAAATTTATATTATCACTAACATTTATATTAAAAATTGTTTTATAAGTTTTTACATAACTTGCTCAATTCTTTTTGTAAATACAAAAAATAAATTTTTTAAAAGATATAATTATTTGTGATCTTTTAATTTAGAAAATATCAGAAATTTTATTTAATTTTATACTTCTCGTAATAATTTATTATCAAAATTTTCCTTAGCAAAAACATAATAAAAATAATACAAAGACAAAATTAACAATATAATAGTTAACGTTATATCTAATCAAGTAGTTTTTCTTTCTAGCATTATCATATTCGTCAGCAAATCGTTGAAATAAATCATCATCTTTCGAGATCTTCGTCGCCCCTTCTTGTGAGATTTCCAGCTGTTGAGACTAGAGGAACAGCTGGAAACGCTAGCACGACTTAGACGGGACGTTTAGACGTTACTTTATGTCGGGGCATACACGAGAATAAAAGGGAGAAAAGTTATGATGGCTACAGCTACTACGGTAATGTATGTGGGTGGTTGGGTTTACGAGCATAGAGCTGGATAGGCACCAACCCCTTGTTCCTTGAGTCGGCCCAATCCTCCGCGTACCCCCTTCTACGAGAGCAGGAATAAAAATTCCACCAGACTTCCCCAGGAAAATGGTGATCCGCGGGTACAACATAATATAGTCCTACGAGATCCAGAACGTGTCAGTCGTTCCTGTTACATCTTCTCTTTAGGATTTGCCGTAAATTTTGGTCGTATATAACGACGAATCTTTGTTATTCTGAATCTTCATAGCATATCAAATTTAATATCAAATATCTTATTGTCAAATTTATCACAGTGTCAATTCCCGCATATTTCGCATTCAAAATAATTAATAAAAAAAATTGCTAACTGCAAAATAGGTAAAGTGTTCAATGAAAATAAAAAGTATATATATATATATTTACAAATTATATTAATTTCATAAATCACTTTACTTTATAATTAATTAAAAATGATCGATGTCTAATAAATTAAATTTAATTTTTCATTTGCACTGTACTTATTGCAAATAGTTATAGAAATCTAAATTTTAATAACGATTAACTTTAGAGGCAAACTGATTTCAAATATTTTATTACATAGAAGAAATATTATGCTTGCTTATTCTATTGAATATCTACTCATAAATAATAAATACAATAGCAAGTCGGTAGAGAGTTGCAGCGAAGAAAATTGACAAGAAGAAGTTGCAAAAGATAACAAGTTTGTGAATAATGTTACGATAAAAGTTATAACATCGAATCCAACAGAATTCTTTCGAACGAATTCTAGGAATAAATTTCTCAGAAGCCATTATTTACTTTTTCGCGCCGACTAAAATAATATCTACGTCGTTTCGAATATTCCCTCTGGAAGTTAACTACTTTTACATTTTGCCCTCCTGAGGCAGAGTTACCGTCTTATGTAGCGCGCGTAAAGCGTAATAAAGAGTAAATAAAACAAAAGTCCACTCAAGTTGAAATTTGTCTCTCATGAATACGAAATTTATGAAGGAACACTCGCGAAGATATCCTACTTTGATGCTTCTCTGACTGATAATGCTACTTACTTAGTCAAGTAACATTTACAGCTTATTGATATGACAACATAACGTAATCTCGAACATCATCGCGAATTGATGGATGAAAAAAAATTTCAGATCACATAAAGGAGAAACTTGTCGAGTAAGTCCCCATGCGAAAGTAGTAAAGATAACGAACGGAGACTTATGCGCATCTGTAAGTTTTACGTTCGGTTAAACATGAGGGAGGAGAAAAAAACTGTATCCGCGAACGCGCCGTATAATCACAAAGACGGCGACGCATTTACTTCTCGTTTTCTGGTAATGTCGTCAAATGACCCGGCGCTATCCTTAAATCTTGCCTGCAAGAGCTGCTGCTTAAGAGCGACATTTATCTCGCGCGCGTCGCCGCCACCACCGAGCTGGAACATTACGGAGATGAAGAGAAATTCTCGTACTTTGTTCTTATCCGCTGAAACAGCCGACGCGGCGTCGTCTTTTAGAGTGCGTTATTCTGGCACAAGTTAAAAGTGAGGCTAAATAGAAGCTAGAAAATCGTAGTCATGCTATATTGTAATCGCTCGTGATGATAAAATCTGATCTGATCGCGAAAGAATGAAAAGCACTTAACTTGTGCTTCTTAACTCATGAATGCATATAACACATACATGTATATTTTATATATTTCTATGTAAAATATGTTAAAGAATAATTTCGCTTTAGTAGTAATAAATCATGCATATTTTCATATTAATTTTCAAAATATTTCTATTTTTAATATCAAATATTTTGTCAATAAAGATTTAAATTAAATTTTCTTTAAATAGAATTTTACAGTTAACTAATTTTGAATATATATGTATATATGTCCA